AATAACTACGACATTCCTTCGGGCCGATATCAGTGAGATGTTTTTAACCGTGACCAGACGTAACAGAACGCAATGCACGGTTTTAAATAAACCGTAATCGAGCAGGCATTACATAAATCTTTTTCGAGCTTGGACAAGTTAATCGACTATTTCACTGCGAAGAGCCGCGCGAACAGGTCGCATAAATTATGCTGTAATTGCTCGATGACTTTTTGGAGGAAACGAGAATGTACCACGTTCAATGAGACTCTCTAGTACCAGGAAAAAGAGAGAAACGAATACTTGTTCGTGTATAATGATACTCGCAAATTCCGTAAAATATTATCTGGTCAGTGAACCGATCGATGTACCATTGGATGACACCGGGTTATTGGCGTACCTAGATAATAAATTCTTATTTTAACACTTCGAGGATGGATCTAACTTATTTTCCAATCTTACGACTTAAGATAATGAATTTTTCAGTGTTAATTACTAGAGGAAGTGCAGCATATTTGGAATAATTAAAATCTCTGGGGTTTGGGGCTGTCAAAACTCTGAGGACTCCCTTGGTTGATATACTTGGTGTAAAAATCCAAATTTATTCTAAATAAAATTAACAGTAAATAATTGCATTCAATATTTTTTGGCATAATAAATATAAGTGGACAACTGACAGTAATATAATTTATTCAATAGAAACTTAGTCGGATTTTTCCCAAATAAATCACAAAATAAATCACTCGTTGTTTTCTTCAGTAAACTTCGATTGAATGAAAATTTTCCTAATCCACGTTAACAAGCGGTGTGCATTATTATGCACATTATCCCCAGTGACAAAAGACTCGGCCTAGCGAGAAAGAAAGAACCGTGTACCTGTTTCGCTGTACGAAAAGACACTTTTGTTCGTGAATCACCGATTTTACTACGAATTCATCCCTTTTGAACACGTCGAAGCGAGGCTTCTTCTATTCTTTGTCGGTCTTCGAAGCCTCGACGAAGAAACACATGACGGCTGGCGGACGCATTCGTCAACGGCTGACTTCAGTGCTCGTCGCTATTATCTCATGCTGTATGAATGATTCATGAACGATCGTGACGCTGACTACGTGGCCTGCTTTTGTAAAAATCATAGATTTTCTTCGGTACCGTTTCCGAGAATGACATTCTCGACACGTCGTTTCCAAGAGAACTGGCGAGAATTTCGAAACGCTACGACCACGAGTCTTTTTGTTACGCGCAATGTAGGCTTCTTGATTTTCATTTCGATCTTGGAAAAATCTTGGAAAAACCAATGAAACGCTAATTTACAACCTCCTATCTTTGCAGATAAGAAATATCCATAAAATGACTGATGAGACATTTCTTTTTACACAGCTCTCCCTACTGATAACCAAAGAAATGATTAATTTCACTTTTAGAAATTTCTAAAATTTTAGTACTTTGATTGCCACTTAACTTCGTATATTTTATCAATTTCTCTACTGTATCAGATTTTTCAGCTATTCGGGTATCTCAAATTAACAACTCTAATCTTGACCACTCGAAGAGGGATTATTTTCTGTGAGGAACACCTGAATCAATTACAGGAAAGTACGAGGAGACGGATCGTTTGCGTAAACGATAAACGCTTTTTAGGCAAACAACGCGAATGTTTGGTACAATTACGTAAGTTTTATTACGTGTGACAAGGAATGGAATCGCGTTCGTGTACACGAAGATGCACTTTATCAACATAGGTTTCTTTAGATAACGAACGCGAGGAAAAAAGTCATGATATCGCGACAAAGAGGAGGGCAAGAATTAAAAATAAAATGATAGAGGGTACCTGGCTTTAAACGATTCGACGCAGATTTTCTTGCGTTTATAAAAGTGTATTTCCACAAAAAGTAGACGATTTACTCTTAAATTATCTGACTCAATATTTCAACATAAATAAAATAACTATGTTCATAAAATTTTATTTGCAATTAAAAGTATGTATTATAGTATGAGTAAATCCTAGTTATACCACTGCCTGTCACCAATGAAACAGTATTTAACTATTGAACGACGTATAGTTATGGAAATCATGCTTTGCTGTTTAAAATATGCAAATGAGGACTGATTCTTACAAAGCAAAATGTCAGACCTTGAAAGAATTCAATGCGAATTCTCTCGTCTTGAACAGGACCAATGAACGGATTGTATCTACGAATGAAGTGTTGCATGAATACTATAATATTCTGAGAAACATGGCAAGTTCGTGTGATAATAGGCTGATTGGTGACGCAGTATTTCTATACGAAATTATCAATAGTTGTACTTGTCACTAGCAGTCTTACTGTACTCAAACTCGTTACACGTAACGTGTACTCTATATTGCTGCGTAATACTTCTGTTTTCCATTTTGAATTTTAGAGCAGATTGTTATTCAATACCCTTATCATCGCAATGTATAAAACAATACGCGACAGTGTTACTCGTTTTTTTTTAAAGAAATTTATATAACGCTTTGTTATGTTAATTAGGTGTAATCTAAACAATGCATCTTACTAGTAGAAAATTATTTCAATAAACTATCATGGATCCTCGAAATAGTATCTGCTTTCGAAACCCGCCACCGTCGAGGAACGTCTTCGCGAATGGCGAGGGCCGAGTTGTGCACGTGTCCAGTGAAACATAATCGTTGAAATTTACGTGGCGCGAAAACAAGCTTACGTGCCAGAATGCAAAGCGAACGAACGAATGGCTCGCAGGAGATGAGCATGAATCAAAACATGTCCGTGTCGTGATTCACCGAAAGGAATGATTTCGTGAAAACGAGCCAGGTGTTTCGGTCAGCTGTACCGAACGTGCACTCGAATCGATTGATCGTGATAACGCGATAAGCAAACGTGATTAAGTGAATTTCTTGGTGCAGACGAACCGAAAATCTACGAAGTTTATATGAATGACAGGGACCGTCAGATATCTTTATTCAGTTCTATGCCTAGCCTCGCGATAAGACACTCGACACGGTTTTTTACAAACTTGTGAATCTTTATGATACCATCGGGGATTCTTCGATACGTGCACAGAAATTGATTTGAAATTGTTTATGACGATAGAAAGATAAGTGATTTTATTGGTAGCAATTAGTGGTGACTTGATCTTTATTCCTATTTTTCTTTTATAATAAATTTTAAAATATTTAGTGAACTGTTGTCGTTTTTATGTAGAAATAAAAATTACAATACGAGGGTTTTTACACTGGATAATTTCTAATTAACGATTGTCTGGTAAAAATAAAAGAATAGAACTTAGCTTGTGTAGTTATAAAAACTATGTTTGCCAAACCACTGCTAAATACGTAATTCATTCTAAATTCAATAGGAACTGTTGTGATAATTAAGTTTGCTCAACCTAATACAAATTTTGTATTTGACATCTATCCCAACAGATATGACCAAACAGTTTCGATTAAACATGTAATTCAGTGTTGTCGATAAACAGGTGTGACTTGGTACGATTTTATCGTGCTGTCCACACTTCTTTTCAATTAGGGGACAAGTATTGTATCTATCACGATGAACGCGAGCCTACCTGTAAAAAATTGCCCTTTTGGTTATCATTGTTTGTTGCAACCCTTGCAATTGAAGTGTGACTCACGTAACGAGCCGAGAATTTACCAGTCAGGGATGTTGTGAACGTTAAATCAGAAGACAAACAAATGAATGGCTGGACTTTGATAATGCACGAAGACGTAACGTAACCCGATGTGGACGAATAAAGCTCTTCTGTGTGCTTTTGATAAACTTCTGAATCATTGATATTCGGAGCCTGTAGGTCGAAAACAGACCTAGGTAAAATTTTGTTTTAAAAAGTAAATTAGAAATCATAAATTTTTGAATCACCGATATTTAGATACCCTAGGACCTAAAAGCAGAGCTAGGTAAAATACCATAAACTTCTAAATCATAGAAATATTTCAACCCTCTAATTATAGTTATTCAACTGTCTTCCTTTATACGACCATTTTCCTTATGGAAGTTCACCATGCCCAGTGCTGTACATACTAACGTTGAAAGTTCGATATTAAGAAAGAAAAAAGGAGACCAGACAGTCGATCTTCGACGCAGATATGCGTTTCGCCTCGATACGAAGGTCGATTCCGCACAATAACATTTCGTAACGTTTTATGATAAACGAAAGGCTGAGAGGACGATTACATAATCAATCGTGTACTTCCATTGCATTATCGAAATAAACGGGTTAATCGATGAAACTTCCATACGTAGCCAACTTTCCGCATACCGAAGTAATTAATTGTTGGCGCAGCTGGGAAGATCTGTTTGCATTTTTTTAATTACTCTATCGCGTGAAACAGAGCTCCCTTGAAGACACATATGTATCGTCTGTGAACAATGAAAGTTAAATAGAATCGTTGATACCAATTTTGTAGGAAAAGATCAGAAAAATCTTGATGCATCATTAGTCGTGTTCAATTAGTGTATCGAGAGATATCTGGAAAACCTTTCCACCGTCTGTAATGAACAATTTCAGTTATCTCGATCGAGTTCCAGCGACACGGTTCAATTAACCACTATAAAGGCAGGAGCCATGGCGGTAGAACGATGCGACCGCATATATTTCCTCCGGCTACGATTTGTCGTAAAGAAAGACTAGAGTATGCACCTATAATTAGCGCAGTTGCGTGCCCGGCTCCTTCGAAATCGGGCCGTCGAGATTGCGACCGGTGAAACTGCGCGCATCTTTGCAGCTGCCGCACATGCACCGGGTACGAACGACCCCAAAGCGAGCCCGTAATCGTGTGCTTCCTGCCGCATCGCGCGTCCGTCGCGTCGTCCGTCGCGATAGCCTGCGTAGGTACTCACCTCGTATACACTCGTACACTCGCGCGAATAAATTTGTGCCGCGTGGTGCGCAACACCGACGCAACATGCGTACAAGGCCGCCAGGCTTGCTCGATTCTTTCAGAAAAACGCAGGAAACATGGTGTTATCTTCGCTCATCCGACTGCACGCTTCAGAGAACCAGGATTTATTACCGTCAAAAGGGAGAACGGCTAGAAAATCTTACGTAATATTGGATTTTAGGAAGGAAATATTACTTACGTTTCATCTATTTCTTCTTATACCTTGGATATTAATAATTAAACACTTCAAAGGTAGACGTTGGGTTAAATGTCGTGGAGGATACTCTGTTGGCTGGCACTAAAAGATATTTTAAAATTAATCTAAATTTCGAGCAAAATGTGATAACTGTGTGACGTATACCGGTATTCAGTTAATTTTATGAATAAACGATCGAATAAATTTTAGCGAATAGCGATTTATTGCTGTTGACAGGAAATATTTGCAAACTTCAAACTTAGGTACAGCCTAGAACCAAAACTAATTTATTATGAATACCGATATCGAGTTTTGATTCTTGTATTATGTTTCGGAGTAAAACACCAGATATTGAATTGACAAATTACTATTTATAAATAAATCATTTTTAGAATTATGTACCTACTCGTTATTTATGAAGATTGATTAAATAATAAATGAAAAATTGTATACAATTCATGTGATAGACGAAATTTGAATATTTCCCATGATAATAATGGATGCCGTTCGTTGGTACGCGTCCTTAAATCGACGAAACTCGTTCTCCTTCGTGGCTGATTTCTTTTTTCGCGAAACGAGAGTCGAAGGAGGAAGGCATGGGAGTGCCCCTCGAAAATTATTCCGTGGAGTGTATCTTGGCATCCGATGATTGTGCGCCAGAGGCTAGAGTGGTCTCTCGGAGTGCACGTGCGCCTTGCACGTGTTAGCTGTGGGGCGACCCTCCTGATTCCTGACTGCCTACAGACTGTAACATCGTATCAGGGCCACGGTGGCTATAACTATATACCCACACTTGCTCCATCGTACTTCATCTCTTTTCCTCTTCCTCTTGCCCCTTCATTCCTTTCTTTCCTCTTTTCGACTCTCCGTCTTCTTCTATTCTAACACGGTGCTAATTGTAAGCACAGCCTTTCTTAGCCGTCACGATCGCCGGAATATGTAGGGAGAAATCGTGAACAATTCCAACTTCTTAATTCGACGTAATAATCGTAAGCTTTGGAATTTTTCACGATAAAAAATTTTTCAATTATCTGTAAAATTAATAAAGCTTTAACGCGTTCAATCTAAGTTTGGTAAATCTACCAATTCCAAAATGATACCGATCTTCACAAGTAATCGTAAAATTTATAGCATACGTTACTGATTGTTTCGATATCAATCATGATGATTCTTAATAGTTTCATTTACGAGTTCGCCTTATCTTACAATCAGCCGGGCTGCACCTGTTACCCCGGGCACGAACGTGTTAATCAGTGAACATCGAGGTTGTGCGTCACTGCTCGAACCTGAACATTAAGGCTGGAATTATGGAGACAAATCTGGATAGTACCGCTGATAATCACCAATAGTCGAACGGTGATTACTCGAATGATGTTGTATTAAGGAACTCGACCTGACAAATTAAATCGTCGAGCGACACTTGAATGAAAAAAAGCTTCGTTTCGATAACGGTACATACACTTTTTACGGGGAATCAAGGTACAGAAATAAGCGGTCCCTGTTAATTTATACGGTCGTTGATTGCGGAATGGCACGGAGCTCGTGATCGAGCCGTAATAAAAATACGCGCGAGCTGAAACAGGAGACAAAAATTGCGGAGCATCGTGCCGCGAGGATCCACTATTTGCGCAGCTGTTCAAACGGTCCGTACCGCGAAAATACAAGCTCGTCACCGGTTTTTAAAATACCCGAGCGGCGAGCGTATGTGCGCGACGACGAATGCACCACCGGACCGTCATTAACGCTCGCTGACCTGTTTTCATGTCGCGCGTCGCGTCGTTTGTTCCTCGGTTTAACGGAAATCTAGAGCACTAGGTACGAGACGATAGTCTCACCTAGCAAGGGCACCTCCTCGACAGCGCAGCCTGTTTATTCCGCAGCTAGACATTGAATTTTATATTTGCTGCAGCTGCGCTTCGTAAGCCCTAACCCGGACCAGTTAAATCCCATTAAGACAGAAGCAGTTGTTCGTATCCCCCCTCTATCTTTTGTTCGACGACGAACGCTTAAGGCGTATTTGCTACCTGCCTTTGCGTATAAAGTCATTTTCACGGGCATTGTTTCGGTGTAAGATTCGTTTCCAACGACTGGTTTATATCCATCGTTTACCAGAGCTGTTTAAAATGAAATCTATACGGAACCTTGAACGGAATTCCAGAACTGTCGGGTCGTTCCCATCGTACCTGCAGCCAGGTATTAAATGCACCAGGTAACTCAGGTGTGCCGAAATGCTCTGTTGTCGGCCTTGGAACATTGTTGTTCAAAGAACACTCGTTTATATAGCTGCGCCCGACGATGCGGTCGACGCTTTTCGACTGTGTCGCACAATGCACAATGCGTGCGATTTTAACTCGAATGCCGGTTTTTCCAAGCGGTTTCCAGGCCCTGTAATTGCGAGAGTATATTAAAAACATAAGTAGAGGCTTGTAATTTACAGGTTGGTATGTATTGAAAGAATAGTCATAGGAGCAAGTTTTAATTTTCTAAAATAGTAACGGACTTGATAGGGTGGGCATAAATGTTTGGAAAACGAACAAGATTAATCAGGAATGAAAAATAAACGGAATCGTTAGATCATGAATATACACTTTGTTACTTCTTGTAACTCTACTATCTCGTGATTTCGGGTTAAAGGAAAACATTGATAAAAATATTATGAAAGGAAATAGAGATTTTCAGCGGCTGAGGAAAACCTTTGTAACCCCTGTCACCATATTTCTTGAAAACGAGCTACAAGACGCGTATCAAAATTCAAGATCGAGTCATGAACAGACTAAAAGTGTGCTGGCCACCCTCGTATCATTCAACGTTACTTCTCTTCGGGTCGATAACGGTGTATATCAAAGACCACCACTATTCCAACTTTAATAGGTATTTCTTCCCAGCTGTGTCGAACCTTTTCATCTAGAACATAAATGTTGAGCAGTTAAAAACAAATAAAATCAGTTTTTTTTATTATATACTAAAAGCGTTATGTACAAAAATGTCGGTGATTATGAAAGTGGAATAAATAACATTTTCTTTATTTCGAGATATTTAAAATTTTGCGTTTGGGTTGATTAAAAACCATTTTGCCGCTTTAAAAAATATTTGCTCTCGTAATATGAAATCATCCTATAGTATAGTCTGTACCGTAAGTTTTCGAGGCCGGTGGTACCCACCCAGAGAAAGAACAACGACAGTAAATTCATTTGAACGTCTTCACCATGGACACCGTATAAAGCCTCCCACGAGCACACCCGTGGCGATGAATTCTGCGAGAAGGTCTCGAAAACGACTCGACTGCGCGTGTATGCAACGCGTCTGTGCGTTAGCTGGCAGGTAAAAGTAAAAGAAATAAAAAAGAAAAGTCGAGAGGAGAAAGAAAAAGGGGGATGAGTTCGGTAGGGAGGAAGGTAAGAAGTCAAGGAAGGCGATAAGAAATAAAGGAAAAAGAGCGTGGAAGGACCCCCGTGTTCGTTCCTTCATACAGTTTCGTTTCACGAGCCGCAGGAATAGAGTTGCAGCGAAGCAAAGAGAAGCCATGCGTGCGGATATTTTTAATGAAACGCCAATCGTTCGTTCGTGTGTCTGGTGATTAGCGCATGCGGAACATTTTAATGATACGCGTGCCCGCTAAAGACATTACCGAGTTAAATTTAAAATGTATGACGTTCCGTTCAAACGACCGACTCGACTCTTTGAATAGTATGCTGCAACGTGAGAAGTATTTTAAACTTATCCTTTCATTTTTTTTTTTTTCTCATCTAACCACTACTTTTGTAATTTTGTTACAAAATATCGACCTCTCAATTAGACAATTACTACTGTATTACATTTCTCTCAAATATTTATTTCTATTCAAATAAAATTATACCAGATGCACTCTGCCCCCTACCTTGCGCCAATGACTATTCATTGTCCATTTACTTTTCAGTCGCGATCAATTATCATATAATTGTCATGTTCAAAGAAATAGAATCAGTCAGGTGATGTAACACTAACCAAAAGTATTATTCTAATCAACGACTATCTACATGGATGTTTAATTAATGATCCACGCGAAGAGGAGCTTCAGTTACTCTCGGCAGTCCATTAAATCCGCTCGCATGTATGCAAGGCTCGTTTGTAAGTAGCAATAAAATCCTAACGATCCTTTCATAAATCATCATCGGGCGGGCCAGCATTTCGAAAATGACTGTCTGAGTAATATAAAAGGGGGGAAAAAAAAAAGTCATGAAGAGTGTCTATCCGGTAGAACCGTTGGAATTACACGGCAAGTGCGGCAGGTAAAAACGTTGTTGCACCCGCGTGAGTAATCTTCACGAAACAACGTGGAAAGGTATGAAGTGGAGGTGAAAAGGGACAAAGGGAGATGGAAGGAATGGTATATCAGGTGAGAGAAAGCGAGATGGTGGAAGAAAGAGAAAGAGGTAAAAGGCGCGTTCGCAAAGGCGACCGAAGCTGGCCGGCCGGCCGGGTCGGTTTGGCCCCGTGGGAACGCGTTGGTGGCCAGCTGCACTGATTGCCATGAGAGGACGTGACGTAGTCGTCGTCGAAACCACACAGTCCCACATGCAACACGAACGTGTCTTTTACTCGCGTGTGTACCCGCAGCTTTAGCGATGGGACCGAGCCGGTGTTCTCCAGCCGTTCATTCAATGTGCTAACGTTACCACACGCAAACCGGGAGCAAGTCTGTAACAAAGGATAGATTGAATTCAGAGAAAATTGAAAGACTTGATCCCATCCTTTGTATGAACTAAATTGCTCATTATTCGATATCAAGAATCAAATATTTAACAGTAGAGTAAAGCTCGTATAGTACATTGACTTTGTTTCAAAAAATAAATCGTTGATAAAATAAACTCAGGTGTCTCCTTCTGATAAAATTAACACTTTCGATTTACTCAATGCGGTAAATTACAATTTACATAAAACAGTTGACACAAGGAATTCTCAAATATGTCAGTTACATAGCTTTAAATCTTAACAAGGCCACTTCTGTGTATTCCAGCCACCTGTACACACATCGATGAGACTGTGAGAAATATCATGGTCGAAGAACGAAGGTTCGAAAGGTTCGTTCTCAGAATTTTATCCTCAAAATTCAATCTTATGTAATTTGACATATAGTTTACATATATTAGAAGATTGAAAATGCATCGTTAAAAAATTTGATTTTTTTGTATTTTCACAGTTGTGTAAAGGTTGACTAGCCATTTATGGTTTTGAAATGTACATTCTAAAACCATAACTCAAAGCTGACTCATCCAAGGATTTTAGAATTCCAAAATCTCCTTTTACCGGAAGCAATTTCAGATAATACGTACTTGCTTCATACTGTTTAAATTTCTTAGAATTCTTCAAGTACATATATCTACTTTGCAGTGTAGTCATCAGTAACCCTCAATATACTAATAACAAATTTTACTCAGGAGAAACATACCTTAGTTTCCACAAACCTGAAATTTCAATTTAAACATAACCGCATAAGTATTTCTAGCAGTACAAAGAATATTCTCGTTCTTTGTTCAAGTTCGCGCATCGCGAGATAATCGATCCCATTGCTAGCAATTCGCGGTCTCGATCGTGTGTCGCGACTGGTAGTGGTAAAGCGGTGTGTTGGATGAAGGAGGAGGAGGAGGAGGTGGAGGAGGAGGAGGGTGAGCCGCGGGGGCTGGCTGGTAGGAGGTGGAGGGAGCTGGGCCGAGCGGACTGGCGTGGGGGGTCGCGGAGAGGGGTCGCGCATTCCAGAGAGGCGCCGGCCAGTCTGCGGCACACCTGCGCGTTCGGTTGAATCACGGCGCCTCCGACATAATCCAATCTCTTTGTCCTTCTTCAACCGATCGCGTCTGTGCCGGTCGTTTGGTCCTCGTTTCTCTCGCGCCTCATCCTCCTGCCCCTTCTGTTCCGTCCCACGAAGCGCCCTTCTCCATCTTTACCGCGCCGACGTTCTCTATCTTTATCCGATTCGAAACCCGTTCGCTTCGTCTGCCTCCCAGAAATCTCTCCCCGTTCGTGCTGCTACGCCGATCTTTCTATCCTTCTACCAACCGCGACCGCCATATTCTATCTTTCCTCGTCTTCCTCTCTAGCCAAGTCTCGTTGACTCCACGAGCTTCAGCTTCGTCCCTCTCGGACTAGATTTTCCTACGATTTCTGTGCTTATTTTTTCCCCTCTTTGTTCCTCTTCTGGATAGAACAGCCACGGAAGGAGCGACCAGATCCTGAGGTGAGAGAGACGCAGGGGAAGAGACTCCGGAGGACCGATCTTACGTACAATCGGAGGCGTGCAGGTGTCCGTCGTTCGTCCAGCGGTCGGCACGTCTGTCAGTGCCGCAATCTAAGCTGTACCGCCGAGGACCAACGTAGCGACGGCTTAGAGTGGACACCTGTTTTTCTTGAAAGCACCTGTTTTGTGCTACGGCCCTGCGGAACCGTCCGATTCGCTCAGCGCTAATTCCTTTTTTCACCGCAAACAACGTGTCCGGAATTCATGTTTTCTTTGCGACACGTTTTCATGATTTATGGTAATCAATAATGTTCGGAAGTATAGTCTTTGAATAAACTTAAGCGCGAATAAGGTATTTACATTTGAAAAATTAAACTTAAAGTAAATTGAAATTAAACTCAAAGATTAAAATAAAATTGGAGCTTTCTCCATGGTCGTCCTAAGATTAACAACATAGAAATGAAATAAAATATAATAAATGAATAATTAATAACGGCTTCTGAATTGTTGAAATTCAGCCCAGAAAAACGAAAATTTGAAAAGCATTAAAATCTTACATAAGCTCAGTCGAAAAATGAGAATTTTATTTCTTTAGACATCCATTCTTCCAACTTTCCGGAAGCAATAGCATTGTCTAACCACGGAATGCGCCTCGTTACGCAACTCCTATATCCATCGAATGTAAGACAGAGGAGAGAGCAAGTTTTTTTTTTTCGTTCGGGACGTTTTCGCAGCGTCGAAATCTCTTTTTTCTCGCTACGAAGCAGAACTAGAGCACAGGGAATAGGGAGGAAACGTGAAAGGAGACTCGCACGGTTTACGCGAAGAACGCGACCAGGTACGATAATCCTGCCGGACGTGAGAGACCTGAGACTCATTCAGTGACGTGGGAACGTGTGCAGATACCATTCATAAGTCGGCCGTGCTATGTGTGAGACGGCCAACTAGTGTGTATGCGATCTAGAAGCCGTAGAAGCGCACACGTATATACAGAAGCTGTTTGTCTCAATTTGTGTCGCGAGTTTCATCGTGATAGGGAAGAAGAGATTTTTCTCCTGCCAGTATAATAAATTACGTTTTCTTCTTCACAGTTATGCTCATTTGTCGAGAGAAAAAAGAAACGAATGATTTATTTACCTTAATTTATATAGCAAATAAATCTTGATCGTACTCGATGTTGACTCGCGTCTGTTACTTCTCGACGGAGTTGGGAGAGCCACCAGGACACCCGCAGCCTTTCCTTCACGGCTCAAAACGAGTGTCGTGGGATTCGTGGGAGCCTGTTTTCCGTTCTTGCCTTGTTCCATCGCGACCACGGACCCCACGCCGTTGTTTTATTGTTGGACGACCGCGAGGGAGAGCTCGAATTTCTGCTAAGATTGGAGAACACGCCTTAGGCGACACCGTCTTTAGGTCCTTTTCAGGTATGCACCGCAGACTCGATAGACCTTTGAAAAATATCTCACGGCTCCATTTTTAGATGATGTTGATTTTTTATATCCAACTTTGATGTACCATAGACTTGTTTAGAAGGTTTGGATAAAAATTGCTGCGAAATACTTTTATCTCCTATACTTATCAAGAGGTGATAACTAATGCCAATAAAAATTATGCGCAGATAAAAACAGCTATTTTTAACGTGAAAAGAACAAAATCGTCAGGGAGCAATCTAAATTGTTTTTAAATACATAGAACCTCAAGAGGTTATCGTTCGAGTTGACGTGTCCAGCTTTCTCTACTCGGAGGCACAGCTGCGTTAGTACATTCTGGGGAAAGAAAGACGTGTTCGTACACGTGACAAGTGATGATCGAACGTTTAGTGTGTGATTAATAAGGCGAACAGGTTTCTATTAGGTATACCAATGAGTAATGTACCATAAGTTACAACTGTAATTTCAATTTAAAGTATCCTGTTATGTACTTGTTTCTTGAATTTTTGAAGAATAATTTGCATTTGATAAAAAGAAAAAGGAAAAACAATTTTAGAATGATCCAAAAATCCAAATGGTATTGGCTAACGCTAAACAGTCTTAGAACCGTGTTTCCGTTTAAGAACTGTTTGAAAGTCCATCGTGTAACGCGGTTGCAGATGTTCTTGCAACATCGTTGTCCTTGCGCAAAAGCTAGGGGTACATTTTTGATCTACATCTGCACTCA